CAGTTTTAGGGTTTTACACAGAATTAAACCAAACAACATGAATCAAACATGCACTTTATTTATTTCCACTAAATAACAAAAGTACATCAAATCAGATTGAAGCTAAGGGCATACATAAACTGTCTAACAGTGGACATGCGGTAGTGTCTCGTAGGAGATCTAGAATGCTATTTAAATTCATCCATGTCATTTTTGTAATAACACATACAGGTATGGGAAAGGTGATTTTAAGACATTGAGATATGCTTTCGACATGGTATAAAAAATTAAGATATATATGCCTGTATTATGTTAGAAAAACTGAAAAAAAATTATAGGGGTAATAATTTTCAACCCAGCCTGGGCTTTGGCCCACATCAAGTCTGGAAATTTGTGGATCGGGCCTGGGCCCAACACTTCAGGCCCAGCCCATCTTGTAATATATTCATAGGTCTGGGCAGGGCTGACCACAAGGCTAGGCTATGGTAAGGTTTTAAAAATTAAAACAGAGAACTGTTTTGACCACTGGTTCCCGGTTCAAATGGTCCAGCCAACTGGTTCAAACAGATGGTCGATTCTGATTTCAAAAATAAATAAAATAAAAAAACAGCCAAAATACTTTGTTCAGGTTGACAGGTTGACAGTTCAACTGCCTAGGTCAATAGGTTGCCGACCAAATCAATGGTTTTTGGCCGATGAACAGTTTTAAGGTGAAACAGAACCGATTACCTAGATGGTTCCTAGGTCAACCAATCTGACCATCTGATCCAGTCCGATTTCAAAACCATGGGCTAGCCCTTACCTATCCTGGCCTCGCTTATGATCACCCATAATGTATGTATATACGCATAAGAAACATGTTTTAATAGTTTATGTGAAGTGTGAACTATTTGGATACGTTGAATAAACATTAAGGAATAGTAGAAGAATCAAAAGATGGCTTAAATTAAGAAAAATGATTAATTTCAACAATCAATTTATTATTTTTCTATTTTTGTTTCACATAAAGTTAACAAAAATTGATGAAAATGAATTACAAAGTTAGAACTTAAAGCACATTGTGACTTGACAAGTTTTTATATTATAGTCTTGTATCAATTGTTGGTCTCACCTATTTGGAGCCTTAGAAAAGTTCAAACCATCTACACTTGATACAAGGCATATCATATAGGTATCTAAAGGTAGGGTATGGACCTTCTACATGGGTCAATAGATTGCAATTATAATCATTGCTAAAAGCTTCTAACCGCTAGCATAGGTCAATAGATTGCAATTTAATATTCATCGGAACTTTTTAACAGTTTTTATAGGTTGTCTTGATAATCCAATTACATTGGCAATCCAAACTTTGTTAGATCCATGAATTTTTTCCAAAAAATATGGAAAGCCCAAGCATTAGTGATTTTAATATATATTATAAATGATTTTCATTGCAAGAAAGAACTATAATATGGATTTATCAATAATATATTAAATTCATAGATCTAAGAATAATTTATGCCAAAAATGATTTTTTCTTAATTTTAAAAACAAAAATTAAAGAATAATTTATTTTATGGGAAAATCTATAATACTAGAAAAGACATGGTGCCGGAAGAGTTTTGACCAATCAAAGCTCCACTGTGAATTTTGATGAATACCAGCTGATTGGTCAATCTCTTTTATGATATTGGTTGATTGGGTATAAGTTTTTCCGGTGTCATAGTTGAACCCTTTATTTTAAATATTCTAAATGATTTTCATGATAAATGAGAACCATAAGATGGATATATCAATGATATATTAAACTCATTGATCTAGAAACAATTTGATGTCTTGTAATGGATTTTTAGTAGATTGGAAGCTCAAATATTGTTTGTTGTTAGGGTGGCAATTTCTACCCCGCATATTGTTAGAAAGCATATAAACTTTATGTATTTGGTGTTGAATTTAATAATATTTTGAATTTTATGTGAAGGATAATTGATAGTTTACATATTTTTTAAATGTCTTAATCAAATAATTAAAAATTTGTTGTTTGTTTTTGTTACTTTACTTATTTGTTGTTTATATCTAACAAGAAATAATAGAAAATTAGATGTAGGTTCTAAATCCAATCCACCCCTACCCTTGAATGCAGGGAGGGTAGGGTCAAAGAGGGTTTTGCATTTTCATGTGCAGGGGGAGTTTGGATTTTCAAAATCCAACCTGCTATGGGTTTTGGGGCAGGTACGGGGGATGGTTTAGAGAGACGGGTAGGGTCTAGAATTTATAGAACCCTCCCCAAACCCACCTTATTTTTATGGTATCGACATTTTAGACTCCCATATTGTTGATTGTAATGTTACTAATGTATTCGTACAAATTCTGATTTGGAGAAACTTCAAATTCCGATTTCTCCTAATGGCCCATCATTTATTGAAATGTAATGTTGGCCTGATGCATTGTAAGTTGATGTGAAAAAATAGCTTTATGGAGTGTTACTTGAAACATCTAACCAAACAACAAAAAACAATAAACGTTTAAGTGATATTTTTCGATAAAACATTTATTTGAGAAACAACCCATCTATAAATGTCAATGAAATCAAACACATACTTAAACCTTCCTTAAAATTTATGATAAATACTAAACCCCCCCTTATCCTTAATTACCAAAAAGAAATACTAAAACCTCCCCTCTTTTAAAAAAATCTAAGACCTCCCCTATCAAACGTTTTAGCTATTATTTCTAACAGAGGAGTTAAAAGACAAATATGCCTTGGACAGAAAGCAAAACCTAATGTAAACACAACCGAGTTTGACTTTTGTAGACTTTTTTATGCATAAAGATCCATTCTTTTAGATATATAGCATAAAGATCCATTTGCAAGCATATCAAAAGTGAATACCATTTACACAGTATTTCTTTTGAGACATGAAAAATCCCAACAGAGGCAACAACTCCATGTTTGTAGATTGCAGACGACAATTCATATTGGTTTGTAGTGGAAATCTGAACAAGATAAAAGTGTTATATCTGGTCCAATTTTGCATCCATTTATTTATAATCATATGCAGAATTTGTACATTTACACACACCGACAGTGCAAAATTTGCATTCCAAAAATTAATGCAAATTTTGCACCACTTTGCTCCTACCTCAATTCTCTCTGTATAAAGTTGGGACTGCATCATCTTGCTTCTTACCTAACTCCCAAATAAATAATTCTTCTGTTACGTCCATTTGTACTTTTTACACGCACTGGTAGTGCAAAATTTGCATTCCAGAAACCGATGCAAATTTTGTTCCTACCTCAATTCTCTCTCTTATAAAATTGGGATTGCATCATCTTACTTCTTACTCACTCCCAAATAAATAATTCTTCTCCTACCTCCATTATCTACATTCTCTTTCATTTAAGGTGGAGATCACATCATTTAACTTTTTACAAATAGATAGGGGAAGTCGAATTTAAAGCAAAAGTACACCATGCACTTCCATGCATTTACACCAATGCAAATAAAATTTACATCCAAAACAAACTGACCTTTAAATTACTTGATTAGAGAGTGTAAATTGGGTCGTGCCACTTGCGGCCCGACACGAACTTGGATCGGCCTATCACGACGGTTTGCGGGCCGTACCAGGCCGGCATGACCATGCAGGCCATGTTGGGCTTGAGATTTTAGGTCCATGGGCCGGCACGACCCATATATATTTTATATATATTTATATATATATTATAATTATATAATAATATATAGTATATAATATATTAATAAAATAAATATTTTTTAAATTTTATTATACTAATTTATTTAATTATTGCATATATAAGCAATTTTATACACAAAATTCATATAAAATTAAAGTTTTAAGTTTTTTTATCAATTTTTTTTAAATAAATAGCTTTGGCCCGATAAACGGCCTGACCTGACCCAAGGCTCGGCCCATGGGTCCACATGGGCCCAGGCCATGGACCGTACTGGGTCGACCCCCAAAATTTTCACCAGAGAGGGTGGCATAGCCCGTGATGGCCTGTGGCCCAGCACAGCCCACACAAAGTGCGAACCACCCAGCACGGCCCACTTTACACATCTATACTGAACGTGCCATTTGTTGGAAGTTATTTGTCATTTTGCAATTAAGCTATATTCCTACTACAATTCATAATAATTACACAAATTGTCAGCAACTTTTCATTTTATCTCATATTTAAATAATGTGTTCTTACCATTTCGATAACTAATTATCAATTTCAGATGTTTGCTATAAAGTAGTTTTATTAAACTCTAATTAGTTTGCTTCAATTTTTACTCATCATTATATATAATGTAATTCGTTGTCTAGATTTTTATTTTTATGTCTTTATCAACTATGATGCCATGATACCGGAAAAACTTATAACCAATCAGGTGGTTTTTGTCAAAATTCACTGGATTTTGATTGTCATTGATCTTCCGGTATCATACCTTATTAATTTTTTTTTTTTTTTTTTCTGTATTTCTGTTACTTCATCCGAAATTTCGGCTGCAAGATCGGTGAAAATGGTTCCGTCGTTTTGCAGCCGAAATTCCGTATTTAACAAGTCGGAATGTCGGATGGCCTGGCGAAATGACGGAAATTTCGCCCTCAAACTTCGATCGGCTTTGTTCAAGTGGTTGGAAGCCAATCCGTGATTTTAGTGTTGGTGTCTGAAATGAAATGGGTTACCGGTGTTCGGTGGATTCGACTCTGGTATGGACGCTAGAAATGCGATCTCTTTCTTGTAAGTGCTATTTTTCCTTGCAAGCTTCTGAATTCTGATCTTATTCTCTTTGTATATGGGCTAAGAATTGCCATCTGGGTTTTGATCTGGAGTTCTCTCTGTCTTGAAAGTGGCTGATGTACTGATATGGTGGCAGATGGGATCTGGTTGTGAGAAGAGTGTGAACAGGTTTGTGCACTGGAAGCAGAGCATGGAAGGAAGAGACTCGTTTAATGTAGAGTGAATTTACTGGTTTTGTCAAGAATGGGAGGTCCCCTGCTATCTTTTCACTAAATCTTGGGTAATATTATCTTTTTTCCTTTTAGAATTACTTTGTTTTGATTGTTATCAACTTCATTCACTTTGATTTGGACTGATACAAGCAACTGTTGTGTAAGAGCTCGAAATTGTTTGGGTATTGAAGTTAGAAAACCACTTTAGAAATAAAATATGCCAACCACCGATGTTTAAGAGCTCAATGATATTTGGAATGCTAAAATGATTTTGTCCTAAACAAAGTAAAACAACAAGTAGGTGAATTTTTAAAAACTTTTGAAAGACCAATTGAAGGGGAGAAAAAAAAATCCCAATTCCATGAGAGTGAGATAGAGATTTATAATTTATAATGGTTTTGTAAGAAAAAATGCAGTAGGACATGGAAAAGTGAAGATTATAGGAGGAACCACTTTGAAAAATAACTTAGCTTCTTATCATTTTCTATGCTCTTCCTGAGGAGTTCGGAGAAAAGTTGATGAAGACCAAGTGCACTGACAATTTCACAAAAGAGAAGTGTGGATCCAGATAGAGAAATATTGATATGGAGAAACATAAGCGTGCTTAGCCTTACTAGAGACCACGAACTGATATTCAGCTTCTACACTTATGAGAGACAATATATTGTTTCTCTGCACACCAAGAGACAGAATCAAACCCTAAAAAAGTGCAAAAGGGCTGTAGCCCGTAGTCACATGGACTCTCCTAAAGGATGATGTGTCTATGTCAGACACATTGTTGGAGTTTGACACTTAATGGATTCTTGAGGACACTTCTACATAACATTTCCTTTTATTTCCTGGCTTATTTGACATAAATGAACAGATAATGTACAAGACAAAATTGCTATTTTTCATATCAGACTTTACTTAGGCTGCATTTTTTTGAAGGTGTTTAATGTTAGAGTTCAAAAAATATGAACTATTTTATTATATACTTTTTCATAGATGTTTCTGCAAGTCTACGTTTTCTCACCTTGCTGAATAAGACTCTTGGGCACACACTCGTAAAAAAAAAAAAGACTCTTGGATGTACATCGGATTCTGATTCCTGTATCCATGTGACACTATGCTGTAGTATTGTGATGAATGTAGGGACAACCAACCTACTCTGCATCTGAGAAACCATAAAGATGATGACAACTTTGAAGATGAATAAAGAAACCCAAATGCAATGTTCCATGAACATGAAGGAGAATGTGCTTAATAGCTTGAAATTCACCCAATTGCGAGATCATTCATCTTCCGGTAAAGGAAATATTTGGTCATTTCCTTGTTAAATATTGTACATTCCATAATACTACAATAGAAAGTGATATCAGGAAAGGGGTCCTTTGGAATAGCCATTCCCAACAATGACCCCAGCCAGCTCTCTGGAGCCTTGAGGGAGTGGATTGGATACAGAGCTAACATTGAGCACTTTTTACATAAAATGACCACTCTCACTACATTCTCACACCTATCAGCCTGACATTTTACCATCAAATTTAGAATAACCAATGCATTTTTTTGGAGCCATAGGAGCAGTAGGGTTTGCAACCATCCATCTGTCTTATTCAATAAATCGAGAGCATGTTTAGGCTGCATTTGGCATTCCTTATTTTAAGGACTTATCTCCTTTTTGCAGTTAAAATGCCCCTATGAACACTGATTTTTTAACAGAAAAAAGGAGATAAGTCCTTAAAATAACGAATGCTAAATGCAGCCTTAGATTGTGTGAAAGTACTTATCCAATAAAAGAAAGATTGTGTAAAAGTCATACTAGAAGAAGAACATTATATCTTAATACCAAGAAAAATACTGCAGAGGTCCTGGGGGACTGAGATCTTTCATGGAAAATCCCTTGCCAAGTTGAATGATGCACCAGGCTTCCTCCATGCATAAAAGCAGTAACTTAGGGCCCGTTTTGCTTGCAGGAATAGGGGTCTGGAATCAGAATTGGAATGACCCATTTCAATTCCAACTGTTTGGTTGGGCAGAATTGGAATCCCATTCCCATTCTTGGTAGAATGACATTCCCCTATTTGAGGGAATGGCCATTCTCTCCCCCTCCCTTGGGAATGAAATCCCATTCCAGCTGATCCCAATTCTCATTCTGATTCTGTCTGAACCAAACAGACTATGGGAATAGACCATTCCGGTTCTGATTCTGACTGTGAACTAAATGGACCCCTAGTTCTCTCAGAGGATTGGAATACAAAGAGGAGTCAGCATGGCTACAAATAAACCTCATAATATGAATATTGTCATGAAAGAAACCAAACCAGACCTTCAAAGCACATACATGATCTTGAAAATTAGGATACTGGAATCCTAGATATTGTATGGAGATTCATTTTTATAAGACAATGTTTAAAAATGTGGTATAAGGTGAGGTACCAAGGCTGTTTGATGTATAAGTCATGGGAAACCTAATTTTAAGAAAAACATCGAGATGAAAACTAACCAGCAACTATTTCTTCCCTTTAATCAGAAAAGACACAGTTAAGAAGGTAACCAGAGCACCTCTCTTCTTTACAAAGAGAGTATGGTATGAATGTGTCTGCGTGTATTCAAAGTGAAAAGGGCAGCCCTGAACCTCCCAAACCAAGCTCTCAGCAGTTGCTTAAAGCCATAGAGTGGCTTCTCCAATTTACATACCTTACCCTACATTTCTTTCCCATACATCCTAGGAGGAAGAGACATATACACTTATTCATGCAACTCCCCATTCAAGAAGGCATTCTTTACATCAAACTGATACTGTGGCCAATCAAAATTAGCTGCCAAAGATAACAAGACTCTTACAAATGTCATCTTAGCAACAGGGGCAAATGTCTCCAAGTAGTTTATCCCATATGTCTGTATATACCCTCTAGCAACTAAATGATCCTTGTACCATTCAATAGATCCATTTGCATGGTATTTTATAGTGTCAACTCATTTGCATCGAACAAGCTCCTTGCCCTTAGGTAAATGTCAACTCATTTGCACGATATTTTATAGTGTCAACTCATTTGCATCAAACAAGCTCCTTTGCTAATCAAAATTAGCTGCCAAAGATAACAAGACTCTTACAAATGTCATCTTAGCAACAGGGGCAAATGTCTCCAAGTAGTTTATCCCATATGTTTGTATATACCCTTTAGCAACTAAATGATCCTTGTACCATTCAATAGATCCATTTGCATGGTATTTTATAGTGCCAACTCATTTGCATCAAACAAGCTCCTTGCCCTTTGGTAAATCAACCACATTCCAAGTAGCATTCTTATGCAATACCTCTATCTCAATTTTCGTAGACTTAGGGATAGGCCGATATACTGATAAAAAAAAGTGCCTCTGATATAGACTTAGGGATAGGCTAATAAGAAATAAAGGCTAAGAAGGAATAATATGATGGGAAGAGCAAACCATAAGAGAGACACTTTGAGGATACAATGTGTAGTGCATTTTCTGATACCCTTTTTTATGGCAATGAGTATATTAAGGTCAGGGAAAGGCTGTTGCAAAGGTATGGGCTCAATACCTGTTGTCTCTTCAGCAACTTGGAATGTAGGAGGCTCAATTGCAGAAGTGGAAACAACCTATTCATTCCTAAACCTTTGCTGCTAGTACCACCTTTGAAGGATAGGAGGAGGTGCAAATGAAAGAGGGCATGGAGGCAATGGTCAAGGAACTGGAATGGGATAACTAGGAGATGGCTCAATAGGAGGTGACTCAACAAGAGGCTCAGATGAAGTCTCCCCCTTAGGAGAATGACTATAAAAGGGAATGGAGACAAAACAAATGCCACTAATAATAGTAACCCTTTTATGTGGAGGCATAATCAAGGAATATATCTCTACAAGCCTTTGGTTCAAATTTGTGTCTTTGTGAGTTAGGGATATGAACGTAGAAAATGCAACCAAAGACATGAAGAGGAAGAGAAAAAAGATCTCTATTTGGAAATGATAGGCTAAAAGGAGACTTGAAACCCAATACTCTAGATGGCATACGATTGATAAGATAAGTTGCTATAATAACAACTGAAGGGATGGGATATCCATCTCATGGACGCCCAAATCTTGCGGAATGGATAGGGCGAATTTCAAAAATTTCTCCCATCTTTGCAGGGAATCGAATTCCCTATTTCAGAAAACATATTTTCAAGGATCAATCTTGAATCAAGAACCAAATCAGATCT